CTTATCGTTTTCTTTTATGTGCCGTGTCTAGTCTCTTAGATGTTGATGACCTCTTCTGGCTATATGTAACTTATGCAGTACTGAGATCTACAGTTTAACGTCAGTTTTGAACGTTCTATTAGAAGAGAATCTTGTCAGAGATATTCGGTGGTTTGCTGTTGCCTTCCGAGAGGATAATATATATATGATTAATGAAAAACTAGATATTGTTATGAGTAGTTTAAACCTAGATCTTTGGTACAGAAAGCAGCTCTTATGCCGCGATCACCATAAAAATAATCTTTAGAGAGATGTTTATTTTTCTAATTCCGTAAACATTCTTTAAAATGAATTCTCTCTCTCTCTCTCTCTCTCTCTCTCTTTCCACGATCATCTATTCATCTATGTGCTATCTGGAACGAATATTACAAGGATTATAATTTGAAAAAGAAATACTGTCTCTTTATTTCTAATTAGGAATTAACTATGAAAAAAATAATATTTTTTATTCTATTATCAAATAATGATTTTACACAGTAAAAACATTTTGTGTTAAATATTTATATTAAAATCAATCTTTATTAAAATTTTTGGATTAAATTTTTAACATACTCGAGTTAATAATATGATGTGATTATGTTAATTATTTAAATTTTTCATTAAATTGATATTCAATATTTCTTAATAATTAAAACAACTAAAATAACAATTTAGGAATAAAAAAAGAACAAATTATATAAAAATTATGTAATTTTAAAATGTAAACTTTTCATATAAATAAATAAAAAAATGTACATATATGTTAATTTAATTATTATAAATGTTAATTTTATTGAAGAAATATGCTTCCACAATTTGCTTCCAAGCGAGTGTTACATTTTTTGTATTAATTCTTTACGTAATATATATTTTTATTACTTTTAAACATATTGAATCGTTTTATCTTAATTTTTAAAATAATTTGAATGGACCGCTTAGGATATAAAAAATATATTAAATTTAAGACAAATTTTCCAACTATAATATAAATTCAAATATATTTAATAAAGGCATTATATAGGTGTGTATGTAGTTCTGTTTCTATAGTTTTCATGAACTAAAGTAACAATACGCTTTTAATATGACATCTGCGCTTTAGAGATCTTTATGCTCACTTCAGAACTAAATATAAAAAGATAATCAGCCTTGAATCCTATTTATGTAAACGGACAGATTAGTTGTTTCTGTATTTCGTCGATAGATGGCTATGATGACCAAACGTTTCTCGTCATTAAAATACCTTTACCCATGCTATATCTAGGGCTGCGGTGGCATGTCAATTTTAAGATCATACTTCACAGGATCAGTTCTGTAGGAGTTGATCTCATTCTCCCTCCCTAACATGGGAGTTGATGTAACCACGATGAGGAGTGACAGTCCTCTTCTCTGAGCGTGAGAACGACACTGCTCTTGACTTGTTCGAGAGCCTTGTCATCAATGATCGTTCACTCTCTGTACTTAGTGCAGAGAGGATGGGAAGTAGGACTTTCTGAGTGGTTTACAAAAATAATAAAATTGTAAACTAAAAGAATAATCACATAAGAATTGTGACTATTTCCATATTAATCATAAAATATATTAATGTATGCTTTTGCGTAGGCGGAATGAAACATATGAAGTTGATTGCTCAATAGATCATAAATTTATCATCGATAGTCGGTCATGTCATTTTTTAATTATCCGCAATCTCAATTTTTGCACACGAAACAATCGAATCCACGACCGCACTGATGAAATACCGTTAAAGATCATCTCTGGGCAAATTTTCGTGACCATCAAAAGATTTGAAAGGCCTGAAAATACGTTCGAAGATAATTGAAGAATATCATTATCGACTATTAACATAAATTTATGATTAACAGAAAATAATTTGAATACTGCATTATTAAATTCATGATTTTTTATTATCGAAATACAGCTTTTAAATAAATATTTGTACTTTATAATGCTGTAATATCACATTATAGTCACAAAATTATGATTTTTTTTTAATAGTTTAGCATCTTTATGGGTCAAACACGGATGGTAACTATATAAATAAAAATCAGTGGCGTAACTATCGGGGTGACG